GTTAAGAGTTTTATATTGCTTAAATTAATTTGCTAAGCAAATAGTGTAATCTGTAGAATTTCCCATTTTCTAGACTTTGCTGATGGTATGATAGGTTGTAAAATAAAACCTGTCTTCATCTCTTATATTTCCTGGAAATTGGTAGATATTAATCAGAAATCTCAAGCTGTTTTATCTAAGGACACTTTTACGCCTTAAAAATTATTGATGACCCTAACAATGTTTGTTCGTGTGAGTTATTAATATCTACATAATAGACAAAGAAGAAAATACTTTTAGAATATTTATTTACTAACTCACTTTGATCATTTTTGAAAACATGTCAACAAAATACTCATGTGGGAATAAACAAAATTTATCTGCCAGTCTATTTTTCAAGTAAAAATCATGTTCCATGAAAATAACAAATTAAAACTCAGTGTTACAAATGCTCTTCCTCAGGACAACCATTATACCTCAATATGAAGACTTCCTATCTTGTTATACAGAATATTCACTCTAGATATAGAATCAAGATTTACTGGAATTAACTGTCTTCATGGTTTCATCAAGTTCAAGGACATTTTTTTTTTGAGTGAAAATGCCTTTTTTGTTTCTTTCAAGTGTGTGGATATGAAATTCTGTGTAATGCTGAGTCACTAGAACTTCTGCCAACCCTTTCTTTTGCCTCATAGGCACCAACGTGAACTCAGTGAAATGACAAACAGCATTTCAGTGTAATTATGAAAATTACAACTACATAGCCACTCTGAAAAGGTCTCGAAGAGTTCCCAGGGGCACAGATCACCATCCGAGAATGGTCTGAGGTAACTGCCAGTTGGAATTACAATGAACGGAGGAACCATTTCTCAGTCTCCCCACACAGAGGGCGCTGGACAGCAAACATAGTCAGCTGCTGTTCACTGGGACACAGCACGCTCTCTTGATTACTTCAAGTTTCCTTCACACCTTGCTGTAAAGTTGAAGCAGCTATTCTGAACCATTTTTTTTCTTTTTTCTCAATAAATACATGGCCCTCACCTATATTTCCAATTCTCATGCCCATTCAATATTTATTAATTGGTTTAAATCCAACTGAATAAGATATAAAGAAATTCATGTATATGTCTGCAGCAGTGAATCATTAATAGGTTAATCTGAAGTACACTTTGGTCATTTCCCTTAACTGTCTAACATCATAATATTTTCTAAACTAAGTAACGTTAAAGTTTGGCTCAGAGGCCTACCTTTGAACAGACAAATTTCTCAGAACAGGATATCTGAGAAAAAGCGGGGAAACTGGAAACTGTACCTGTTCCTGGGGAAAGTGCCGGCCTGCTAAGGGGAAAAGGCAACATTTGTGGCAATTTCCAGCCTTTGCCAGGAAGAGTCTCCTCCCCTTGGTGGAATTCTCCTTGAACCAATGCCAAGCCCTTCCTATGGCCCCTGTCCTGCCTATGCACCATGTTATTCATTTCATGCCCCTCCCTCAGATTCTTCTATAAAAGCCTAGACTTTCTCAACCAAAAAAATAATCCCAGACTCCTGCAAGACACGTAAGTGAGAACTATGAAACCCATGGAGGGCTATCTCCCACATACAGGAGAAGGTCCAGTAGGGCCCTTCCTCAGGGAGCACAGGAGGTCTGAGACTCAGCAGAGCTGCCCTGGGAGGTCTCAGGAATGGAGGGTATAGAGATGTGCCAAGACACTCCAGAACTATAAAAGGTGGCATTGTGACCCAAATCAATTCATTCCTAAGGGACCAGATACAGAAGAGGACAAGGGCAGGCTCTCAGCAGTCCTCCCTCTAACCACACTCCTGCAGTGCTCGCTGACTGCCTCCCACATCACAGACGCCATGCTGCCTCCCAGGGCCCTGCCCAGCCTGGCCTGGATGCTGCTCTCCTGCCTGATGCTCATGTCCCAGGTCCAAGGTGAGTGTTCTCTGCCTCTAGCACCGGGTTCCCTGGGAGAACTCAGAGTCAGGGAGGGAAGAAGGCTCATGTGTGTCTCCTGTGCTGATGGTGAGCTGCAGCCCCACATGGTGAAACTCCCTGCAATGTCTCCATCATCACTCCTTCCTATGGGTTGACGGATGGTGGGAGCCCCGGGGGCCTTCACAATGGAATGAGATGGCTTCCCATTTAGTCAGTGGCCTCTACTTGACGCTGGTGGATTGCAGAGATAAAGTGTGAAGGATCAGTAATACTATTTAGGTATGAATGAGGATTGGAGGACCCAGTCTAGGGAAAGTCAGCCCATAGTGAGGGGGGTGTTGGACTACTGAATAAAGAGATAAGGAAAATTAGTAAAAGAGAAGAGATCGTTCCCCTTTTAGTATCACTATTTAGAGACCAAGAATTTCTGACACTGCTAGCAAAGATGAGCTGGAATCAGAAATGTGGTCTTCCTCCCCAAGGATATGCCCCAAGGCCACCCCAAGCCCCGATCCCCACTCTTTATTTCACTCCATCCTTCCCATTGTCTCCTGCACCCCAGGTGAAGACCCCCAGAATGAAGATGCCTCTCCACGGATCAGCTGTCCCAGGGGCTCCAAGGCCTATGCCTCCCACTGCTATGCCTTGTTTACATCACCAAAAACCTGGATGGATGCAGATGTGAGTGGTTACATGTGGGTTGGGGGTGACAGGGAAAGTCCATGTGGGTCTCAGCAGAGGGGTCTCCATTCATTCTAAAAGCTCCTTGGGAATGAGAATTAACCATCTATCTTTTCTCTGTGTGTGTGTGTGTGT